ATTTGGTCTTCTCTGAATAGCACTGGAAATATCTAAAATTTGGTCTTGGTTTTCCTCTGGAAGTAATAACACACATTTAGCCTCACTAGTAAGACTTTAATAGTTTGTACTTAAGCAAGATTGTTAAATTGGGAGAAATTTGTAAATAATCACCTAAGTTTAGGTTGATATTTTGAAGGCCAATATAATGTTTGTCATACTAACCAGGGTTTTTTACCCTAGAAGATAAATGGTCACACTTCCCCCACTCCCAGCTAGTATAAAGATATTTTTATAGAGTGTTATAGCTGCATCGATTAGACTTCCAAGATGCAGTTAATAGTTACAGTGTTTTTAGTATATATCTAGTTAGAAAGAACTAGCTGACTTCAGTGCTTGACAGTTCATGGAAAACTAATTTAATGTTAACTTTTAATCAGGGTTCTTGATCGGGGTTCTGTCTGCTAAACGTATGTGACTTTCTTGATTAACACTTCTTTTGAAACACTTTTCTTCTTTCTCTTTCAGTCTTGGTCTTTGTAATGGGAAAAGAAGGGGTCCATGGAGGCGGATTGAATAAGAAGGCATACTCAATGGCAAAATACTTGAGAGACTCTGGGTTCTAGCTGCTAGGCAGACTGTTAAGTATTAGGGAAAAATTGCTCTTAAACTTTCCTAGCCGTAAGCTTGAGTCTTAATTCTGGAAATTTTATTAGCAATGCAGGGTGATGGGGTATGAACCTGTGTCTCCTTTGTATCCCTCTGTTGGTGGGGAAAGGTGTCTTTCTTCCTGCCCCCCGCCACCCCTAAATAATTCTGTTCACTTTTGTTTTGTTTCCTTGTGTACTCCAGCATTGGTTATAGTCATGGGAAAGGAAGGTGTCCACGGAGGCACACTTAACAAGAAAGCATATGAACTCGCTTTATACCTGAGGAGGTCTGATGTGTAAGCAGCCTCTCCCCATCTACCTAGCAACTGTCTTCATCACCACCCCAATTATGGTCATAGTGCTACCAGACTGAATGGTAGCTAATTTCTTTACCTGTTTTTTCTAATGTCATGATTCCTGTTTGCCCAATGGATCATTTGTATGTTAACCACTGTATGTAATCAGTCCTTATCTGGCAACATAATTGCAGCACAATAATGATTTGCATGATACCTTGAAATTTGGGGGGAGGGGGCATGCCAAGTTGGGCATCACTTTGTCTTAGCAATTAATGGGATATTGATTACTAAAATAAGTTACTATTAAGTAAGATGCCGGTTGTACAATCTTTAATTTGATCAATGTCTTTTCAGCACTTTGAGCATTTACATAGCTCATTTAGTCTTCCTTTTGTAGCGCATGGTTGGGAGGAAAAAGTGCATGCATCTTTCTTTCATTCTCTTTTCTCACCTTCCCCCTCCGCACATAAGGTATTTGGTTTGCTTCCATCTTATTTTATGCCATGCCTGGTTTATTTAACCAATTAATAATTCGTTTTGTTGATGAGCTATTGAGAGCTGCAGTAGTTTGCTTTTAGTATTGTTGTTGCACTTGAGTAGACATACCTTTTTTTATAGAGTCTACAGGACATACAAATTGTGCAACTGCAAAATGAGAGCAAAAGGCACTTCCTCCCGTGATCCTAGAGTAACCATACTGATTGAATCCCCAGGAACATTCCATCATTGCAATAGCTCAGATTTTTGTTCCTGTCTTTTTCTTCGCACACCAGCTCTACTCTTTATTAAAATTGTAAAAGGCTGCCATTATGGACATTAGGTATCCCAACATAACCATCTGGAGTGTGTCCAGTTTGTTCTTCATAGGACCAATTTTTATTTGCAGCTTGAGTTTTTATATGAAGTTGCATTACTGTGGACTTGGCTGTCTTGTGATGAATTTTTTTCATATGTATTCTGTGCCATACTATTGTTAAAATGAACTGTTGCTATTGTGAGATGGATTTTAACTGACCTATAAAGGTTTCTTTCGAATGGCACTACTTTAGGGACATTCTAGTATTTGCTTCTATTGTTTGGGCCTTGTGGATAATGTACAGATTTAAAAACAAATCTTGTTGCTGATTTGTCCATTTCTTTCCCTGCACTTTGTTACATCTGGGATACAGTCTAACTCATCTGATTTAATATGCATTTAAAAAAATGCCATAACTATTAAACACCTTGTTTACAGACAGATGAAATAAATTTATTCCAACCAAATATTCTAGGCTCCTGTTGTTTATATAAATTGTTGGCTTACTATTACAGTTGATTTTTGACACAATGGGAATATACAGAATAGTCTAAACTCTTCTGCAAGCATAAAATCTTCATAAAAATTTTCAGCTGATGGCCTATTCCATTTCTTGTAGTATTTATTATAAATAAAATAAGTGCCTGGGAATTTCTTTTTAAAGGGCTTCCATCTATTAAAAATGGCTTTTAGTTATCTCAGACTAGTTTTCAGGCTTGTGAGAGAGGAAAATTGATGTATCTACTAGAAACTAAATATTTTTCTTCTGTTGCTGGTCTCTAGATGTGAAATCTAGTGCAGTGAGAGGCCCAGTACCAAGAAGGGTTTCTGCATTGTGGATTCTTCTGTGTTGAACTGTCATATGACTTTGGAGGCTGTGTTGGCAGGCTGAAGTCAGCCAGCTGGGATGGGACTCTCACATAAGAGAAGATACTCCTGAGGCAGCATATAAGATAACTAGGGTATTCTTGCAGTTCCTGGATTTGGAGTGACATGTTAACTATGGCTTACTTGTAAGTTAAGTTCAGTCCCTGAGGTCATAACGTCCCTGAGATGTGCTGAAGTTTAGTAAATATGTTAGTTTTAAACTGTTCAGATAAATCATTACCAAGCAGAAGGTCAGAGCAGAGGTGCTCAAAAGTTGGTGGGTCTAAGTGAAACTGGGGAGTTGGTTATAATGCAGAGTCTCAGCTCTGGAGTTTCACCCTGGAGAAGGAGATTCCATAAGCCCCCGAAGTCCCTTTAGAAATAGTTGCCAGGTCAGTCTGATTCTCTTTAAGCGGCCTGTATGCCATCCTTTGAGAAACAGTGGGTAAGGAGATGGGAATTAATCTCCCTGCCTTACTTAAACTAGACTATGTACAACTAAAAAAAAATTTTTGACAATGTTTTGAGGCAGTTCTGAATTTGTACATACAGGGTGTATGGAAGATAGGGATTTGGGGCTCCTTTGGTAGGTGGGCATACACTAGAAATTGTAAAACAACAAAAACCTCAACTTCTTGGTCTGTTAAGATCCCTGTGAGGAACAAATAAAAATTTGTTGGTCAAATGAAAATTTGGTGGTTGGGTTGCAATAATGAGATTTTATCATACTTTAGTTATAAAGAACTGTTAGGGTAACTAATTAGAAAGCAGCAACCAGAATTGTATGTAGGTTAAGGATATGTGTTTGGGGTGTGAGGAGAAGATAGTAGAAGGCGACTGTATCACTAAAACAATATATAATAAAACTAGATATTGGACCCCTACCCACAATTTCATTAGAAAAACACTTAGACAAACATGCACGTAGCTGTGCTTTGTACGTAGTTCTAGGAATTTTACCTAAGGAAATGGAGCTATAGAAATTTATACACCAGAATCCATCACACAGCATTACTTAATTAAACTTAGAAAACTACAAAATTTACCTATCTGGGTTATGGGTTATATAATTGATTATCCAGAGGATAAAATAATAGTCAAGGATAAAATAGTCATTGAAGAATGACATGAGAAAATGCTTATCAATGAATGTTAAATATAGGATATAAACATGACACAGTATAAACAGTTTATAATATGCATGTATTTTACATACATATTTTTGAAGGCAAAAATATCAAGATAAATTTATCTCTGCAGTAATTTTCCAGGTAACTCCTTTTGCATTCACAAAAATTTTAAATTATAAAATTATTTAATAGGAATCAGATTTAATTTTATTTAATGTCCTCTTTCAAAAGTTGTAGTTACACCATGAAGACATTATATCAGAATGATATAAGTGAATATCAGAACTAGTAACAATCTTAGTGCTATATAACTAAGAAGCTTCATGAATTTTAAAACTAAAAGTAACAATTTGTAGTTTCAAAAGGTAATTTTTGCTTCAAAAGAAATTCTAACTTGAACTAGGTCTTTGATCTGAACTGGATTAAAAACAGAATACAACATCTAATACACATTACAGTGACAACTTTTCCTCTTTAAAAATATTGTTTCAGGTATAATGTTTTATCATTGACTAATAATTATAAAAGCTATTAGTCGTCTATTTTTGTAACACACTGAGTTCAGTGTTTTGTCCTCATACCCTACCTTAGGTTAAATGAAATTATACAAATAACCAAACAGGTTTAGAAAGGTTATAGGACTATACAAGTATGTAAAATTCCAGAGCTTTGCTGACATCCATTGGTAAACTAATGTTCTGTTTTTCAGGCCTGTTTTATTTTTAAAAGGGGGTAGATTAAAATGAGGTAGTATCAGACAGTAGATGCTGAATTCAGACTTTTAGTTTCCTAAGTGGAAATATCTGGGTTTTTTTGGTTGCTTATAAGAATTTTTCTAAAAAGCAACAGAAAGTGAAATTCTCACTACTAGTGTTACATTTCTTTTAGAATCTGTTATATATATTTTTTAACAACAGAAGGCTCATGTACCTAGTGTACTTATTCTCTAATATGCTTTTGTTCACTAACAATTTCCCATGTCAGTGCAGCTATATTTATATATTTACTTTATCCTTTCAAGGCTGTGTAGCAGTCTATTGTAAGGATGTACTACAGTTACAACAGGGTACCATGAGGTACACTACTGTTGGAATGATTTTGGCTGCAGTTTTAACTTTTTGGGGAATTCCCTAATTGCTTTTGAGCAGTCAGGTACCATGTATAAAGTTCTAAGGTGATGTGTGTTTATCTGACCTAAATTACCACAATCATTATACCTTTATAGCACTGTGCATATAAAAATAAGGCTAATATGAGTAATACTACAGTACAACAAATATTTGCCAGTTCTTAAAGTGGAAAATGTATTTATTAACATTCAAACTCCCTTCATACAAGGCAATATAAAAATTCTTAGCATTTTGATTATACGTAAGTCTATTTTCTACAGTTACAATGATGTATATTTTAGCTTTTCATAATACATTGTTTAACTACATCATTCTGTTAAACAAAAGCAATTATTTTCAAATCCAATACTTGAACAGTTTCCTTGTACATAGTTTAGCAGGGCTAATTAGCATAAGATGCTCTTTATTAAAGAGGTATATGATCTGTGTATTAACAGTTGCTGAAGTTTGGTATTTTTGTATAGCATGTCCTTTTTGCTTTGATCACAACACAAAACCCTTAATGATAACTGAAATTCAGTAAGTTCAGAGGCATATTGCTTTAGCTAGTTAATCAAATTCATATATAACACTAGTATTAAAAACCTTAAAACTTAAAATTTGCACTAGTACAGACTTCCTATTAGGATAAGACTACTAGGGAATAGAAAGGAAAAAGACAACTTTGGGTTTTTCTGGGGTGCTGATAGGAGGATAAATGCTAAATTACCTGTTGCCTTTCACTAATGATGGCAATTTGAGGTAATACCAGAACAAATATATTCCAACTCAACAATTCTAGGTAAGTAACTTGAGATGGAATTTGGCTTCTCTCATGCTAGGTGGCCACAGCACTGACCTTGTGTGTAAAATGCAAAGTGTGCATATTATAATCTAGGTCTTAATTGCAAGCTATACTGAGGATTTTAAAAAATATTTTGGATATATTTCATTCCAAAGTAAGAGTTGATTTGATGCTTGAGTTACAGCACCAGTCTATTATTAGTGAAATGAAGTACACTCCTGCCGATAAATACCAGATCAAAAAAACCTGTTTCAATAATCTGATTACACTGTAGATTATTAAAAAATAAGTTATTTCTACACCAATCTCTGAAGGGAGCAAAAAAATCAAATTATATACCTAAATAAACATTTTTAAAAGGAAATAACCCAGTCTCCCTCTGAAGGTCAGACAGTATTTGCTATGTTGTAATCCTGTTCACCATTAGACTGCAGCTGGACCACAACACTGTGTTCATTAATTTCGTTTTCTGCATCGCTACTGTCAGTATCTTCATTGTCTTCTTCCTCATAGTCTGAAGATTCTGTCAAGTTCTGATGTGAGCGGGATTCCGACAAAGCCCCAAATGACTGGGTGCTGACAGAAGCCATAGGTCTAAGTAAAGGGGTATGTTCTGACACTTCATTTTCTTCTTGACTACTATCTGTGTCAGAGTCTGAGTCGCCTTGAGAAGAAACAACTTTTTGCTTGCAGACTGGACAGGTTTTTTTTGTTTTAGTCAACCAGGGGTCTACGCACTTACAATGATAGGCTGTTGAAGCAAGAGTATACATCTTTAGGTAGTGTACTGTGGTTGAGAACATTTTTAATCTCTTACCATGTTATTCATGTTCTGATACATACATCATGCAGGGATGAGAAGAAAAGTTTGTAAATTTTTATAAATGTATCCTTATGAGACTATTAATTAGTACAGGGCCTAGTTTACTAATTAGTACTAGTATACTAGTTACTATTTTCTGTCTCCTAATACTGAACCTACATATAAATTTACTATGTAAATTCAAAGCAATATGTCATCATTCATACCATGAGAACAGGGAAGGATTCTGAGCTTATCTCCATCTTCATACTCATCCAGACAAATGGCACATACATCATATTCATCTCCTATGACAGAAAACAGTAAATAAAATTCATTTAAAGTTGTAGAGAAGTATTCTTAACTAATCTTTTCAAGTTAGGTCTCCCTCAGTTATTTTAAATGCCTTTTGATTTATCTATAAATGATACTTTTTGTTTGTTTTCTGTCTGATCAGGGACCTACTTCAACTTCAAGAACCTGAAATTTAAAATATTAACCTTTTACCTAAAATTAAAAAATGGATGTCAAATTTGTTTACCTTTATTACTTTTGCAAAAGATTTTTATAAAAATAATTCCATTAGTGTTTTATATAACTATTCAAATGCTGGTTTTGAAAAAAAATAATGGCAAAGACAATGAAATTCCACTTTTTAGATTTCTTAAAGTCTCTGGGTCATTTTTTAAGTAAAAACAGAAACATGTTAGAACATACTCAATTTTTTAAAAACTATGTTAGTGGATAAAAACACATTTGGAATGGACACATTGAGCTTCAAATTTCCATTCCAACATTTACTACTTCTGTGGTTGGTGCCTGGCAAGTTAGCTTTTGACATCCAGTTCTTCTATCTGTAAAAAAGATTCTATCTATGTTGCAGGTTTGTGAGAATGAATTGAAATAATGTCAGCAAAGGGCCAGGCAAATAGGTATTCACTAAATGGTGTTTATTATTAACATCACCGCCCTTTTAATTTCTGATTGTTGAACATCACCTTTAAATCCTGAAAGTTGTTTAAATCATAGTTCTTTACAGAATTCAAGCGTAGTTATAAGTTTTTAAAGAAACTATCAGTCTTAAATCATATGGCACTTCCAGTCTTTTTGAGTCAGTGGTGGCTTTTGTATGTAGTGGCAGTGACCATCGGGACTGCTTTCAATTCACTGTTTTTCATTAAATAAATGTTAGGTAGTAAAAACTTACAAAAATCCCAGAGAACTAACAACAGTTAAATTCATTGCCCAACCCCCCACACAATAACAACCTTGGGAGGCATGTGAGAATAAAGCTAGAATCTGGATAGAAAGGCTGGATGAACATGATACATGAAGATGAGAATGATAGTTCTATCGAAACAATCTTAACTTCCTTTACTCATTTAAAATAGCACATTTAGGAGGGGTCCTAAATAGAAAGCTTTAATGAAAATTACATTTTTCATTATCATTTATCAGTAGAAAAAATCATTTTTGTACAGTATCTTGAATATGGTTACTGTCGTATCCTATCACATACGTTCTAAAACAAATTAAAGATTCTGTGTTAGAACCTCTTGCGTGGTATTTGGTGAGAATGATAATACCCATCTCAAATTATTAAGAGACTAAATGACTCCAATATATTTATAATTATCGGTAATTATACAACTGATCCATTTACATAGACTTTGAGGACAGTTTTAATACATTGAGCGATTTAGTCATGACTGATTTCATACAAATCTAACTTTCAGTCTCATAATTTTGTGATAATGTCCATTAAAAACATAAAATTAATACAATTGAACAGGAACAGACTCATCCAAAGCTATGCCAAGGCTCTAAGCTTCATTTCATTAAGGTAGGAAGGTTATCCTGCATTATCCAGGTAGGTCCAATGTAATCACAAAGACCCTTAAAAGTATAAGAGGGAGGCAAAAATGTTCAGTCAGGGAGATGCAATGTTACTGACTCTGAATATGGAGGGGAGGAGGGTCACAAACTGAAGAATATGGTGGTCTCTAGAAGCTGGAAATGGCAATGAAATAGATTCTCCCATAGTCCCCAGAAAAGAAGCAGTCCTTCCTACATCTTGATTTTGGCCCAGTGAGACCTGTGTCGGACTTTTACAGGTCTGTAAGATAATAAATTTGTGTTGTTTTAAGTCACTAAGTTGGTGGTAATTTATCACAGCAATAGGAAATGAAAACAGGTAATATCTGAGTTAGCCTTATATGGAATTGATGCTTCAGGGCCACTGAATTGTTCCAAGTAATGGATTTATATTGATCTCTCCCTTATTTTCTAGCCACTGCATGCACTTTGAAGATGACAGGTCGAGATTCAAAAGTGTAGTTTGTGACCATGGACCAGACTGGAGCCTGCCTAGTGCTCTGTAGAGCATTAACGCCCATGGCCTTGGACTTGTGATGAAATGGTAAAGCACATCTTAGAATGCCTGGGTTCTCATCTTGATCATTTTATTACCTATGTAACCTTGTGCAAGACACTTAGCATCTCTGTTTCACTATTCTCAAAGAAAAACAAATATTAACTTGTATGTGTTTTAGGATTGTTGTGGAATAAAAGTGATAATGCAAGGAGAGTACATAGTGTTTGGTGCATACAGTGCTTCTTAACCAATCTCCACCTGATGAAACTGGCCCAATAGACATACTGGCTTATGACAAGGCACACTGAAAGCTATGGCTAGGAGGCTGCTAATACCCCCACGTGCTTCTGTCCCATCAGATGAATGTGCTTACAAAGAACTAGTGGCAGTGGTCACTGAACCCATTTGTTATACTTATGGTAATTGTGTAATTTAAATACTCATTGGCCTTTGAACTGTGATGATAAAAGACGTCTGGTTTTATTTGAAAGCTAGGCTGACTGTATTAGGAACACAATAAAAAAAATAATTGCTCCTTTGATCCCTCTCCCGCCAAAATTTGATTAAGTTATAGGTGAGAAATCTAAAAAGTTGGATAAATATATATTTATAAAAAACAAGAATGAAAGCAGAATCCAATTTCTGACCTATTTTAAATATTTTTAGTTTAAAAACTAAAAATAGAAAACGTATCATGTACCATTACAATTTGGAAATCTAGTCAGTAGATTCACAATCTAGATCACGGCAAACGTGACTGGTGAATGGATTTATATTTATTTTTAACTTAAAGATAAATTTAAGGTATTTACTTCTTTATGATTTACAACTTTAGCAGTTAAAAAAAATAACCAATTTGTCCACTGGTTTTGGTAGCATAAAAGAACTATAACAAATACTAATAAATATTAGTTTTGTTAGTATCAGCACCATGCTAGATAGTTTTATTGCTTAGTATAAACTGGTAGTTCTCAACTGGAGATGATTTTGCTACCCTACCCTCCAACCCCCCACCCCAGGACATTTGGTGGTATCTGGAGACAGTTTTGATTTTCAAAACTAGGATTTGGTGCTACTGGCATCTAGTATGCCAGGGATGCTGCTAAACAATCTACAATGCTCTGGACAGCCCCGCAAAGAATTATCCCATCTAAAATGTCAATGGTGCTGAGGTTGAGAAACCCTGATATAAAACCCCTCCAGGCTTTATCAAACACAGACTTTGCTAATTTACTAGTTTAGAAGTAGGAGGGGAGAGATTCATGTTTGTTATGTTAAAAAAATATGGAAGCACTTCTGCCTGGAATGTTTTTGGCATTACTGTTATTTGAATAATGTTTCAGAAAATTTTCAGGATGGCACTTTTAAAGTCTCATCAATCTGGAAATGTTATAGTATGTAGGTACATAAAACTTTGATATTCCCCTCTAAATCTATTCCTCCCTAGTTTCCCACAAAACCTTGGGTCATCAGGTACAGCAAAGGCACTGACCCATCAGAATAGGAAACACACAAAGACTTAAGGCAGCCATTGCAGTGGTATGAATTGATTATCAGGCCTAGGTGTAACCCTGATGCCTCTTCCTCTTAGAGCCTCCTCCATTCAATCTGTCAGCAAGTCCTATAAACTTTTATCTGTAAAACACACATCCTGAATCTCTCCCCTTCTCTTGGTTTCCTCAATTACTCTGGTCCAATAGCCTAGGTTACCATAAAAGCCTCTCTAATCTTCCTTCTATTCTTGCCCCATGAGGTTTTTCCTCCATATCAGCCAGGGTGATTTTTTTTTTTTAAACATCACATCATGTCAAACCCATTTAAATCATTCTTCATCTCACTAAGAATAAAATCTGAGCTCCTTATGATGGCCTTCAAATAGCCATCTATGATCTGCCTCCCTCTCCCACCTCATCTTACACCATTCTTGCTTCAACCACACTGGCCTTTCAGTCTTGAACAAAGGAATATGACAGGCAGGCAGGGACCTGCATTTAGCCATGTTATAACGAAAACATCTGGACGTGAAATTAGATATAGAAAGAGGAATCACCATTTCTAGAAATGACTCAAAAGCGAGCTAGTTTGAAATAATCTAGTCATAATACATACAAACTGATGCAAGCTTAACTGTTCAATTTTATAACAAACTAGCCCAGGCCTAGGATAGGTTTCCTCAAAGTAAGAGAGTGAACATTTAGAGTTAAACATATGGCTTAATATGTACCTTTTAAATAATATGACTAGAGAAAATGCTGCAATGGATTCATGAGCTTCAAAGCAAAAACTACCAATCTTGCAGAGAAAATGCCTTGCCATTTATTTCCTGCTTTGCCAGTAAAGAAAACTGGCAGCTCTTTCTAGCAAATAAAAATAAGCAAATCTTATCTTCTGTTCTCCCCTCCTGCATAGCGGTTCCCAAGAAATAGGAACAAGACAACAGGATAAAATATTTTTATTTTAAAGCCAGATCTGTTTGAGAAATCTTCCTGTTTATTTTTAAGTCCTGAGCAAAGGAACTAATATTTACTTTTAAGGTTAGATTAAAGGCAGTTCGTTATATGTAATTATAGAAACTAAGCGTGCCTTAAAAGGTACAGTAAAGAAATAAAAATTATAAAAGTTAAGGTAATGCTCCATTTTTATTTAATCTGCTATAAAATGCTATATTGCTTTTTTCCCAGCCTCTGAAATAAAATCTTTCTCCTTCTATACATATCTTAGAAAATTTCAATGATTAAGCTATAAAAGAAAAATGCCTGGAACTTTAAAATTCCAAATATGAAAACTTTTTTTAAAAATCATTTTTATCTCAGGGATCTAGCTCCTCAATATACTTGATGGGGTAGGTGGGATAGCTCCCACAGAGACATAAGGATTTTTCATCTGCTATGAAACATGGTATGTGGTAACCAGTCTTACGGTTACAGACTTGGA